AATGTAAATAATTTTGATACTTACCGACTAAATTAATGCAAATGAAGAGTATTAGGTAATGGTAAATAAGGGTAATGATAAATAAAGATAATGGTAAATAAGTATTTATGTTCTTGATTTATGATCTTGATTTTAATTCTAATGATTAATAAATGTTCTTTATACTTACTCACTGAATGAATGATTACTACGAATAAAATATTAGGTAATGATAAATAAATATTTATGTTCTTGATTTGTAAACCTGTTTTTAATTACAATGGTTAATAAATGTTCTTTATACTATACATAACACTCCGTTCTTGGTATCTGATACAAATTTGAAAGAACTTTTTTCTATTGTGTTTTATATCTATTTTTTTAAAAAAATTTTTTTACAAAAAAAAAAAAATCTGTGCAGCTGTGTCACTAGACCTCCATTCATGATATGAAAATCAATTAATTAAATTTGTGTGGTCTAACCACTTTGAATGTTAAATTTCTTTATTTTAGCTAGAATAAGCGAGTTGAATCTAATTCAACATGCCAAAGTAGCCCATCTAAGTCTGTTGTATTTTGAATTTATACTCTAGCCATATAAATGAACTAACAAAAGCACTTCGTAAGAATACTACACTGAAAGATTTGAGTCTTAGTGATATTAATCTTGGATCAGAAGCAGAAAAGGCACTTTGCAAGAATACTTTGCAAGAATACCTCTTTAACATCTTTAAATATTTCTTTGAATTATCTTGGATCTGAAGAAGGAAAAGTATTAGCTGATGCACTTTGCAAGAACTCCTTAACGTTAGATCTTAATAATAATCATAGATCCAAAGGAGAAAAAGTATTGGCTGATGCATTTTGCAAGACACCTCTTAACAATGTTAAATCTCAGTAGTAACGTTCTTGGATCAGAAGAAGGAAAAGTATATATTCTACTTATTCAACCGGATTACTGGTATGTTGATTTAGGTTCGACTTTGCTCATTCTAATCGTATTTACTAAATTATGTGTATTATACTAATTACAATCTAGTTACATGAACTTTTTGATATTTTTTTTTATGGTCGATTTACTTGTTCAACCGGGTCTCTTGGTATGTTGATTAGGTTCAACTTTGCTCATTCTAATCGTGTTTGCTAAATTATGTGTATTATACTAATTACAACTGGGTTACTTGAACTTTTTGATCTTTTTTTTTCATAGTCGATTTACTTGTTCAACCAGTCTCTTGGTATGTTGATTTAGGTTCGACTTTGGGTCTTTTTTTTTCATGATCGATTTACTTGTTCAACCAGATCACTGGTATGTTGATTTAGGTTCGACTTTGCTCATTCTAATCGTGTTTGCTAAATTATGTATATTATACTAATCACTGCCGGATTACTTGAACTTTTTGATCTTTTTTTTTTTCATGATCGATTTACTTGTTTAACCGGGTCTCTTGGTATGTTGATTTAGATTCAACTTTGCTCATTCTAATCGTGTTTGCTAATTTATGTGTATTATGCTAATTTCAACTGGGTTATTTGAACTTTTTGATTTTTTTTTTTCATAGTCGATTTATTTGTTCAACTGGATCTCTTGGTATATTGATTTAGGTTCGACTTTGAGTCTTCTTTTCATGGTCGATTTAATTGTTCAACTGAATTACTGGTATATTGATTTAGATTCGACTTTGCTCATTCTAATCGTGTTTGCTAAATTATGTATATTATACTAATCACTATCAGGTTACTTGAACTTTTTGATCTTTTTTTTTTCATGATCATTTACTTGTTCAACCGGGTCTCTTGGTATGTTGATTTAGGTTCAACTTTGCTCATTCTAATCATGCTTGCTAAATTATGTATATTATACTAATCACTGCCAGATTACTTGAACTTTTTGAACTTTTTTTTTCATAGTCGATTTACTTTGTTTAACTGAGTCTCTTGGTATGTTGATTTAGGTTCGACTTTGCTCATTCTAATTGTGTTTGCTAAATTATGTGTATTATACTAATCACTGCCGGATTACTTGAACTTTTTGATCTTTTTTTTTTTATGATCAATTTACTTGTTCAACCAGATCTCTGGTATGTTGATTTAGGTTCGACTTTACTCATTCTAATCGTGTTTGCTAAATTATGTGTATTATATTAATCACTGCCGGGTTACTTGAACTTTTTGATCTTTTTTTTTCATGGTCGATTTACTTGTTCAACCAGGTTTCTTGGTATGTTGATTTAGATTCGACTTTGCTCATTCTAATTGTGTTTGCTAAATTATATGTATTATACTAATTACAACTGGCTTACTTGAACTTTTTGATCTTTTTTTTCATAGTTGATTTACTTTGTTCAACTGGGTCTCTTGGTATGTTGATTTAGGTTTGACTTTGGGTCTTTTTTTTTTCATAGTCGATTTACTTGTTCAACCGGATCTCTGGTATGTTGATTTAGGTTCGACTTTGCCCATTCTAATCGTGTTTGCTAAATTATGTGTATTATACTAATCACTGCCGGGTTACTTGAACTTTTTGATCTTTTTTTTTTCATGATCGATTTATTTGTTCAACTGGATCACTGGTATGTTGATTTAGATTTGACTTTACTCATTCTAATCGTGTTTGCTAAATTATGTGTATTATATTAATCACTGCCAGGTTACTTGAACTTTTTGATCTTTTTTTTTTTCATAGTCAATTTACTTGTTCAACTGGGTCTCTTGGTGTGTTGATTTAGGTTCGACTTTGGGGTTTTTTTTTCATGGTCGATTTACTTGTTCAACCGGGTCTCTGGTATATTGATTTAGGTTCGACTTTACTCATTCTAATCGTGTTTGCTATGTGTATTATACTAATTACTGCCAGTTACTTGAACTTTTTGATCTTTTTTTTTTTCATGGTCGATTTACTTGTTCAACTGGGTCTCTTGGTGTGTTGATTTAGATTTGACTTTGGGTCTTTTTTTCATGGTCAATTTAATTGTTCAACCAGATCACTGGTATATTGATTTAGATTCGACTTTGCTCATTCTAATCAAGTTTGCTAAATTATGTATATTATACTAATCACTGCCGGGTTACTTGAACTTTTTGATCTTTTTTTTTCATAGTCAATTTACTTTGTTCAACTGGGTCTCTGGTATGTTGATTAGGTTCAACTTTGCTCATTTTAATTGTGTTGGCTAAATTATGTGTATTATACTAATCACTGCTGGGTTACTTGAACTTTTTGATCTTTTTTTTCATAGTCGATTTACTTTGTTCAACTGGGTCTCTTGGTATGTTGATTTAGGTTCGACTTTGGGTTTTTTTTTCATGGTCAATTTACTTGTTCAACTGGTTCTCTTGGTATGTTGATTTAGGTTCGACTTTGCTTATTCTAATCGTGTTTGCTAAATTATGTGTATTATACTAATCACTACCGGGTTACTTGAATTTTTTGATCTTTTTTTTTCATGGTCGATTTATTCGTTCAACCAGGTCTTTGGTATATTGATTTAGGTTTGACTTTGCTCATTCTAATCGTGTTTGCTAAATTATGTATATTATACTAATCACTGCCGGGTTACTTGAACTTTTTAAATTAGGTTAAATTGAGTTTTTTAATCCAAATTAGAATATTATCTTAAGCTAATTTGACTTTACATTAGCCAAGTCTCTTTTATAAGTACAACACTGGATTTAAAATTTTTTAAATGTTATATAAACCCAATTATTTTATTTGTAATTTTTAAATTTTATATTATATATAGCAAGTTAGTACTATATTTTAGTAAATCTATACTATATTATTCTATTTTAATTATCTGTTTCATTATCTTTATTAATTTTCCACCATCCTTTTAAACCCATGCATGCTCTAATAGTTTTTGGATTCAAATTACTCCTTTTATCAGTAATTAAATTTTTACTACTAGAAAATACTCTTTCTACTGGAGTACTTGTAGCTATATATAAAAATTATAATTATAATTTAATATATACTGTATTTATAAATATAGTTATTTATATAA